TTAATATATATATATATATATATTATGTAAATATATATATACACACACACAAAGTTGTAAATTTTCCTTCATTGATTTCACAGGACTTTTTCTTCCCATTTACTTGCTAGATGTCCCTTTCATAAGTGCAAGATTAATGAAGGCATAATCCTACGTGACTACAACGATTACTTCAGTCCAATGTAGGAAGTGTAACACTTGAGCGTCTGTGTCAAGGCGATGTCTGATCGGGCAATGCTGAATTCATTCGGTTTGCACATGGACCATGCGCAACAGAAACAAACAAAAAGTAGAAAGAGCAAAAAACCTAAAAATAAAACCAGAAAATCCTTGGATCGACGTATTGCTTTCTGCACCCCTCTCTCACATTATCTCTGGTCAATGTCCGCGGGAGCCGCCTTGCTTTTGTCGGGGTTCTCCTCCTCGGGCTCCACTTTGTACATTTCCTCGGAGCCCTCCTCGCTGTCGTTCTCCTCCGACTCCGTCAGCAGCTCCTCATCCTTGTACTCTGCCACGTCAACCACCGTTCCCAAATGCTCTTTTAGCTTCCCGTGATGCTTTACGTGGTACCGCTGGTTCTGGAAGAACTTGATGATGGTGTGTTTGGGGAGATCCAGCTGAGCAGAGAGGGTGTGGATGGCTTCCTGATCAGGGTAGAGACCCACGTCGTGGATAAAGCTTTGCAGGATACCTAGAGCTTCCAAGGAGATCTTGGTACGGGATCTCGGCTTTTTGGCACAACTGTCCTCGGCGGGGGGGGGGGGAGGCGCCTCTCTCCTCGGGGCAGGCTGGGACTGCTGTCGGTGCAGCACCTACAAGATCAAACAGACACAGGCTTCATGGGCATGCGGACCCCCTTGGCACTTGAGACAAGGGCACCTGTACAGGAGGGCTTCACTCAGGGTCCGCTTTGTGCCGGTACTTACTCACTAACATCTGTTTTCCACTACCTTTCTCAGCTGCACCAGGAACTACAGACCGAGAGGAGAAAGTGCTATCAAAGGCAAACGACATAAAATAAACATAAACCCACAAAACGAGTCAGAAATGCAAAGCGCAAGTAATAAAAAGAAATGCAAAATAGCAAAGCAGCTGAAATAAAGACTGAGTCAAAAGGTATTGCAGTCTCGTGGTCACGACGACTGGTCGGTTGTCCCGCCTCGCACAGGTCATGCTCCCGCTTCGCTCCTCTCCTCCCCGGCTCCTTGGTTCCTCTGACCCCTTCAGGCTAGAGACTCTTGCTGTCTCTGCAAGATGCCATGTACCACAAAGACCTACTCACACATGGGACTTCCAGGTGCTACTTCATCATGAATAATGATTTAGCACTAAGATCCATCACAGCTGCTTTATGGAAGAAGAAATTTAATAATAAAAATGCAGAGATTTCTTAAGAGTTCCCTTCTATGAAGAGTGACATCGCAGCCAGTTCAGCCGCTTCGCAGCGCTGGCTTTAATGTGTCTCTTGAACAGATTTCTCCGTATTACATCTGTATTAATTTCACTAGTTGAGGAGTTCCGAGTTCAAATAATTACAGCCCTCCATTCTGAGAAACACTCTGGGCAAACACGCTTTTCAGTCTTGTAACAGATTTGCACTGGCAAAAACTTTTCGGCAAGTTTAAAGAAAGCACATGTAGCTCTTAATCTTCCTAACAGCCACTTAAAATGACAAAGAAAGGGCCTTGTGCAGTCCTTATTGCAGGGGAAAAATACCTGCTCTGAATTGTTAGAAATACAGAGGAGCTCCATATGCTTTCTTTAAAACCAAATCTAGGCAAGAGAGATTACCGGCAAAAATCCCCTGCAGGACTGAAGGCTGTGTTTGCCCAGAGGTTTCTTCAGATGCTGGGAAATAATTATTAGAACTCAACACTACAGAGCTAACAAAATCAATACGGATAAATATTTTCTTGCACAAATAAGAGGGAATGCTGGCTCTTCACCCAGGAAACAATCATCTTTGCTGCAAAACGTCCAGAAAATCAACCCTACGTTAAAGCTCTCTAAAGGGAAACAGAGTAAGGATAAATGATGGAAATACGCTGAGAACTTTCAGTGAATTTTACTCGTGTACTGAGCCTCCGAGTAAAACGCTACATTAGTCAAGTCATTACTGCAAGAGGGAAGTCCACCGCAGAATATCAGCCTGTTACGCAAATAAATAAAAAAGCGCCATGCTGAAGAGCCCTTTAGTCACTTCCTTCATCAAGGAATTGCTGCCTCAGTAATTTACGACACCAGCGACCTCCAGTCACTGTTTCTGAAAGGCAAGTCCAAGTACCTGGCCACTGGCCGAGGAGCTGAGAGGCAGGAGATGCTGCGGGAACCAGCCGGGCAGCGCGTCCCCGCAGGGGACAGGCAGGGCTTGCCACGCTCCCGGCCAATGCCTCTCGGGGCCAATGGACCCATTTTCCTCTTGAGCAAGTAAAGAGTCCGGGTGTCACAGCCGCGGGGCTAACCAAGGAACTGGGGGAATGGAGGAACTCAGATGGAAATTACAGATATTCTAGTTTATGTTTTATCTCCCCTGTTGTAATAAAAAAGCGTCGTGCCCCAGTGAGCGGCATCACTCCTCAGCTCCTCTTTGAGGATTTCTCTTTTGGCTGTGGATCACTTTCAAAGAGAAGGACTGGTGTTTCCCATCAGAAGGGTTACAGAGGAGAGCCAGATCCGTACCCACCTTGGCAGGGAGCACGGAAAGCAGCAGAGCCAGGATTGCTGACACCACCCCATGAGTTTGTCACACAGCCCCTGCCTGCACTGTCTCCTTTGTTGTGCTCTCTGGTCCTGCCCCCTGACACTGCAAGGGCAGCCAAAAAAAAAAGAAAAGCAAACAACAGATTCAACACCACAAATAAACTGCCAGGGAATTTACAGACAGTGTTGTATCGAGAGCCTCAAGCAGCACTGCTGGTCAGAAGCTGAATTCGAGTAGCAGCTGACAGAGACAGAAACACATCCAGAAAGAGGGTGAATTACTCAGGTCACTCCTGTTGGGGTTGGAAGCGGGCTTTTTTCCCCCTTTTCAGTTGACACATAGCGTGAGAAACGATCCAGCCTGAAAAATGTTACAAGGCTTCCAGACAAATGTAATGATGAAAAAAATCCAACAATACAGAATCAGCAGCAGTAAAATGTTTAATTTGAAGGAGATGAAGAGATGCCTACAGCATCTATAAAGCAATCAACCAAAGAGAGGGTTGAGAGCGGGAGGGAAAGAATCATTTTGCTTAACCCTTCCTTTTCTGGAGTGACCTCTCCTTCCTTTCCAGGAGAAAGAACACACAACCCAGGAGTTACCAGTGTAAAATATTACAAAAAAGGTTGTATTTTATTTCACTTACTGTTTTCCTGAGTAATACAAAAACCCTAAAGTTACCCTTGTAACAGATAAATCTCACAATTTCACTAACTTCTGAGGGCTCACTCCCAATTTCCATTGGCATTAACAAAAGGATTTCAGTGACACAACGTTTTTCAATGACACAGCACTACCCATATGCAGAGAGATGGATAATTGTGCACAGTTTCCCTCAGGTTCAGGTTTGTATTTCCTTCCGAAAACATGGGCTATTTAATACAAAAGAGCATGCTTTTATACAGGAACCAGATCAGCTGTTGAGGCACATGATCCAATATGAAATATAAACTACCCTTTTGTTAAGTATTTGCTTTGAACTACATTTATATAACGTGCTGCTTGCTTCGCGTTGGGCTCTGCATGCCGCAGCCTCCCAAGAGGAAACTAACCATTTTTGGCAGTACCGGATTTTGGGTCATTATTACGCTCTTAAATCTGCAGGGAAAACTTCCACGAGTTTCACACGCCGCTGGTCCATGCCCTTCCCCATCGCTCCCCGGCCACAGGTGGGACAGCCGCCTCCTCCTCCTCCTCCTCCTCCGCGACCACCATCTGGAGCTGACTTCCCTTCCCCTCCCTCCCTCCCTCCTCACTGATTCCCCATCTACTTTCAAATCAAATGCGAGGTTATAGATTTCCTTCCATGCCCACAGGACTTTCCATCCCTTCAGGAGATTTCATTTTTGAACTCCACAGGCCCGGCTGCCTCCTTGGCGCTTCAGAACAGAGCAGCTTTGGAAGGTGCTGCTTTATGAGGGTTCATTCAGGTAGACTTTTTAACCCCACAGACAAACTTATTTTTTTTCAAACAAATTGAGCAGCCCTGGTAGAAAACTGACAAGAAAAGGAATATGATGGAAGTTGACTTCAAAAGATAAAGTGACTGGTCTTAACTCGCACCGTACTGAAATATGATTTGAAGGCCGCAATGAAAACCAGCTGGAAGCCATGTGTAAAATATAATAGTACATGCCTACAGGGAAGGAAGTGAGATATTGAATGATTAAGTTTAGGAGAGTATATAATGTAGTGTATCATTATGGGAGTGATCAGGATTACTTGTAATAGGCTAAGGGTTTGTGGTCTTTCTAAAATCCAAAGCCAAGAATTATTGGGGGGAAGGGATCACCACGGTGTTTTACACGTATCCGCTCCCCACATCTCGGGATGCTCCCGCGGGAGAAACGGCAGACGGGGACAGACTCATTCCCACAGCAAAGAGGTGAGCAAACCCAAACTGCTCGATGAACGTCATGGAATTGCAGTCTGTGTCTGCACTGTATTTAATTTTGGCTGTATTCACTGCCCCACTGATGTTTGTTTCCATCTCCACCCACGTTCTAGCTAGAACTAGACACGAGGAAGTGGTGCGTTGCTTCGGGAAGCTGAGTGGGGTACCCACACGTGCTCGGGCACCAACCACCGCGACAGCACTTGCTCCATGAAATGCCGCCACCTTTCCTCGCCTGAGTTGCCGTCAGACTAGAAACAGGGACTGTATTTTGCTGTGCGAGACCCAAACTCTTCGGTTTCACACGATGGTTCTGCTCTTCTCTTTGCAGACAGGATTAGCCATGCGAGCTCCCTTCCAACGGGTTTTTTCGGGGTGATGAGGTGCCCTTTACTATGTAGGTTTAAATCAGGTATTAGGAAAAACTTCTTCACTGAAAGGGTTGTCAAGCAGTGGAACAGGCTGCCCAGGGAAGTGGTGGAGGCACCATCCCCAAAAGTATTTAAAAGATGTGTAGAAGTGATGCTCAGGCACATGGGATAGTGGTGGACCTGGCAGTGCTGGGTTAGGGGTTGGACTCAATGATCTTAAAGGCCTTTTTCAACCTGAACGATTCTATGATTATATTCTCCGTGGTGGGAAGAGGTTTCACCTTTTAGCCTTCCTTCACAACTGCATTGCTCTGGTAGCCAGCAGTAACACCGTATCCCACCAAGGACTTTTATGCCCAGGAGAGCAAGTTTTCAGCCTGCTTAAGGAGCCCAAAATAAAAGCCAGAGAGAACGCGCACACCTCACAAAATGCAGGCTCAGTACCTGTGTGTGGTACATCTAGCAGCAGGCGTCTGTTTCATCCCTTACAGCCTTTCCAGGACACTCAGCAGCATCTGCCACCAGTTTGACCCAGCGCAAAAACGGATTTGCTCCGTCACTCGTATAAGCAAGCCTGCTGGAACGGCCCCTTCCCAACGCCCAGCGGAGGTCAAAGGGAGGGAGGAGGACAAGCCTCAGCAAGGTGTTCACCTGCAGTTTACTACGATGTGTAGCTGGAATTTGCAACACCTCCCCTCTGCAAGCTGAGAGCTCCCAGGCAGTGCCGAGCCATCAGGTTGAGGTAACTTCCACCACTTTGCAAAGAAACCTTATACTTGGAAGGAGGCACTGTCCCTCTTAGCAGATCCTACAGGAATAATCTGCAGGAGACTGTCTACTCAAGCA